AATATTACAAGAAGCAGAACACCCTCTTACTCGATGAAATTTCTATTAAAGCTCCTGGCCCCTCGCATTGCCTATCTCTTTTTAATGAAACGTCAGAAGCGAGAAAATGCGTGCTAAAAATTCTTGCGAAATACGTTAAAAATATATATCCATAAAGTAACACTTGCAATCAATGAAACAAATTTGTAAGATATTCCGTGCACTCCTCTTTGGTTCTAATAATCAGTAATTTGTCATAAATTAACGTGACGTACGATTCATCTTCTTAACCTATTTCTTCGTCTATTTCTATTCAGGTTAATTTATAATAAATTATTGATTGTTAGAGCAAAAAGGGAGTACACGGAATATCTTACAAATTTGTTTAATCGATTGCAAGTATTACTTTATGGATATATATTTTTATTTCAACGTATTTCGCAAGAATTTTTAGCATGCATTTTCTCGCTTCTGACGTCATTAAAAAGAGATAGACAATGCGAGGGGCCAGGAGCCTTAAGAACAAGGCGGATTTCACGGATATGAGAGTCGCGTTTTCGACGCGCTCGCCGGAAATTAATTTTCGCGGCACAATCGCGTCGATCTCGCAATAACGCATTCTCCTCCTCCACCCGCATCCTGCGCGAGAAACGGATAAAAAACGCGCGTTAATTCACAGCCGATGGAGTTTCGACGCGACGACGATACGTATATCACACAGACGACGTGGACGTCGCGTCGCGAACACGATGAGCGTCGACGGGTTCGCAGGAGCAGAACAACGCGGTCCTCTCTCGGGTCCTGCCGGCAGGACAAGAGACCCGTGCAAAAGCGAAGGTTGTTAACAATTTCCATATGATAATGACGGCGTCCCGGCGCACAAAGGACGCGACTCAACGGAGTATTCCGCGGGCACCTGTTTATTTTGGCGTCTGGCTCGCGCAGCTCACGCGTGTATAGTTAACGCGCGTGTCGCGTGTGTGTGTGTGTGTACGCGCCGCTGTCACTCACGCGATACGTGACACGTGTAAAGTGTAAACAGTAATTATAATGGCACGACCTGACGAAAGCCGTGTCGTCGATGTCGGAGATTTGCTCTTGGAAATGCGGAGCATAAATTTTGGAGCCAATGGACGACGAGAACAAATGTAATTTGAATATATTCTTGTGTGTCCGTACGTGTGCCGTATAAAGAGAAACATTTCCACTACAATGATTTCTACATTCAAAGAAAAGCGAAAATGACGAGGGCAACATAAGTGACAATTATAATTATAATTATACGAGTTTTGTATGTAGAATTGTAATGCATATATGTAGTTTATATTATTTTATAATTATTTTATAACTATATATGTGCGTATATTAGTTTACTGTATGTTATATGTGTGTGTGCAGTTTATTAAACTATATATATTAATTCTACATACAAAATTTGTATAGTTGTCACTTGTCATCATATATTTTTTTCTGAATAAACTGCAATGTATTGCAGAATTATATAATTATATTTCCATATTAATTCATATATAATTAACTTGTCCATAAATGTTGTATATCAAAGCGTTTTGTTCCTATAAATAAATAAATAAAAATAAAATAATAATAACTATAATAACTATTTTCAAGATTGAATAATTTCTAAGATTAAATTTCATTTTGTGTTGATCTATAAATATAAAATAGAATATCTGTCTGTACATGTGTTCCCTATTAATTGAATCAAATTTTGCATAGTTACTAAAAATATAGGCTACACAAAACTTTGAACCCTTCTCCTTGATTTCATCCTCTTGCTACTTTATGATAATTTAAGTTTAGACGTTCCAGAAACACGCGCAGAAAAACAATTAGTCACAGAAGCTAGAATATAACTGTGACATCTGTGTTATTGAAATAAAAACAGCTAATGTCGTGGCTACCAAAGTTAAATTTCTTATCTATTTGCACTTCGACGATATGGTAAAAAATATTCGCTACTAGATAAAAACTCATTATCATCATTTTGCTTTTTATTCAAATTGCACGCTATACCGTGAAATAAAAATTAAAAATCTTTGCATTAAAAATCTAAACCAAGACTTTTCATTGAGCTTTAACATGGATTAATGTCAACTTTAACGTTAACACAAAAACAGATATCTACTTACACGATTATGCTGTTTGATTCCCATTGCACGAAAAGACGATTTCATGTCCACCGGAAGCGTGATAATTTCCCCTTTCCAATGGTTATAGTCTCGAGTCGCTACGACGTCTACAAGCGGGGTTATGAACGATTTCATCGATCCGCGTTTTAGATCATTCGCCGTTATCGCGCTACAGCGAGCTGTGAATAGGCACGACGCGGCGCGTGAATGGAATGCGGAATGCGACTATTACTGCCGGACAGTAACCTTGCACGTTATATAAGTGAAAGTACGTTCACTCGGTATCCCCACTTCGCGGCACTGATAAGCACGCTTGCTCGCTGCAATCACGCGGTCGTTCACTTCACTTGAGAAGCAAACGTAGTACGTCGACGCGCGAGAACAAAAATTCAACCTCGTAAATTTGAACACAAACCTAATGTCGATATTTTAAACTTTAGTCGGCTATGATGAGAACCGATTTAGCGATATTATATATATATATATAATTATTGTGGATTAAGATAAAAGAATAATTACCGTTATTTGCAAAATAGTAGAGAATTGTTCTGTTCAATTTCATGACCTCCGTTCGCAAGTTAACAAGTTAATATATATTGTGTTAGACATTCTGTGTACATTTCGGACGCCAAAGAAAAAAAAATATATATGATAAAGAAATTTTAAAAAGACAAAACTTATCTTAAATACCCATTAATTATACATATAATTATGTATGTCGGTACTTATGTGCAAATAGAACTTATTAAATTGTGTAGAAAAATCCTGTGCTCCATTTTGTAAATAATAAATAAATGTATAAATCTTAACACGAGAATTATTGAGATATTAATGACAAAAAAGAAAATTAGTCAATTAATGCATGCGATGCAGTAAGCTTTGTAAAGTTAATTCCTTGAATGTTCGAGATTCACGCACATAAAATATTTGGAAATAGCTACCATTTTTTGGTTATTCAAAAAAAATGGTTGAATTGCGAGAAAAAATGTTATATACGATGTGAAAATAATGGAAATAATGGAAAATAATTGAGTAAGAAATCGAATGAATATCTACCAAACAACCGATCTGCTTCAATATTATTGAGTATTATTGAGACTGGCAGGCGACTGTTATTCCCGTCTGCAATTCGACGCTGCGTGCACCCTGGAATCATCGTAATCGAATTTGTCGAGCAACAGTTGTAAATCATGAGGATCAGCTTGTGTCGGTGCCATGTGTTCCGAGCGGAAATAGAGAGAGAGAGGGGGGGAGGGAGGGAGGGAGGGAGGAAGAGAGACGGAGAAGTAGAAAGGTGAAGAATAGAAAGACAAAGAGAGAAGGCTGCTTGGGGGAGCTACACCCCAGTTTAAGGGTGCTGCAATTGCGAGTGTTACTCCGACGATCGATCGCTCACGCGGTCTCTCACGTAGCTCCTCGTCTAATTAGAATTCAACTAAAAACGTGAAACAACGAACAATAGCGACGAGATAGACATCATGAAGTTTGTATATTTTCGACGACTGAGAAAGTTTGAAAATCGAAAGTGCCACGGAGCAGAAACAGATAATACGCGAACAAATTTCTGGTAGAATTAACCAAATATCTGGTGAAATATGAAAGAATCGGAATTTCTACCGAAGTCATCAGAATTCTGTTCAAGTTAACGAGATTCTAGTTGACCAAACACAATTTCAATTGGAATTCAAGTTGAACAGTTGCAAGTTTCGCTTAACCAGAAATCTTGTTTGATTAACCAAAATCTCGTTAACTCGAAGTTGCCAGAACTCTGGCAACTTCAGCCGGAATTGTGGTTCGTCGATACTCAGCAGATATTTGGTTAATTCAACCAGATTGTTTTTCCATGTATAAATAAATATTTCTCCTTATCCCGTTACCAATTTCCCGCTGCCAACGTCCTCCCAACTCCTATCGCACGTTCAGTTTTATTCAATTAGAGAGCCGATCGCGATCGACCGGTCGGAAATTCATCCTTATTAAACGTCCACGGAGCACAATCAAATTGAAACTCGTAACTGGCTCGAAAGTTACTTTGCCGAGGACATAAGCAAGGATATCTGTCCTGTGAGGGGCGACAGGAAGACGTAGGGTGTTGCCAAGCGCTGCGGCAAACTCTTGCTCGGCCTCCCCCGAAAAGCTTAAATCGGCTTCATATCTCAGCCGCACCCCTGCATCTCTAATCAGATCGTTAACCCCGCTGAGCGTTCGCACGAAGGAAGTTCGTCAGACGGAAATGTCGATCTTCGATTTTCTTCTCGGCGAGCGACGCGGGAGAGAGAGAAGACAACGGGTTTTGCATATCGAAAGCCCCTAAGTGTCGCGTAGAAGGGAATATTTAGTGAAACTCGATGCTTAAACTTCGAATTAAACCGAGAATTATGGGGACTATCTGTGAAAATTTTTTCTCGGGAGCAATTATCGTGCACTTTTTTCCTTTTTATCGTGCTAAGTTCTCGCTTTGTCTACTCAACTTAATTTCCAATATCCCATTTGTCTTACCGTAATCGCGAGACTGAGTTACAATTAAGACAAGATATTCTCAGTGAGGACAAGATAAGCGTAAACGAAGTCCGAATGAAAAGGAAAAAAGCCAGGCTTATTGTTCGCAAGTTTATTTCGCGAGAAGAGAATCCTCCTCCCTATCGTCGGGAAGCGGAACAGCTCTTCGAAGCCAAGGCGAGGTCGACACGAAGGAACGAGAGAGAGAGAAAAAGAGAGAAGGAGCAAATAAATTTGCCGGTGGCACAATAGAGAGCTACCGAGGAGACGCGGCGACGGTGGCTCAATGGCTCATTCAATTAGGATCTTTTCAACGAGGATTAAAATCCGGGAGCTCTTCCTCTCTCACAAGACAGGTCTGATTTGTTGCAGGATGGAGGAGTCGTCGCGGGGCCTGCTGCAACAAAAGCACAGGGCCGAACAGCTGAAGCAAGAGAAAACGGCGCTGACACTTTCCTACGAGGTAAGCAGTAAACTCGCGACCGTGAGTCGCGTACGTGTACGTGTGAGAGAGCGAGTTCTCATTGGCGTTTAATTCACGAATTCTGATCAGATGAACGCATGGACGAACGATTCGCGCGAAAAGCCATCTCGAGCCGTCGGCCCTTGATCGCGAGAGTGTCTCCTCCCGAAACACCCCCGACGAACTTTGCCCCCGAGACTCGTCCCGTCAAACATCAATCACGTGCGACACGACACGACACGCCGATTGACGTTATGAACGAGATAATCGACGCCGCGATTCAACGACAATCGAGTGTCTCAGAGATCGCGTGAGTGCGCGACGACGATTCCGCGTCGCCGAGTTCGGTTCGCGTGGCAGTCGGAGCGCCGATGACAGTCCCGGCGAAAGGTTTCCCCTTATCCAATAATACCGAGCTCTCCTTCACGACGACGTGCCCTTATTGTATTTCACCGTCAGCAGCGCTAAGGCTGCATTTTGTCGCCCGTTATCATCGCGAGAATTTCGTCCCCTTCGAATTATCAAAGTAAGTTTCTCAAGTAAGAGTTAGGACACAATTTGTAATTGAATGAGTGAGGGAGAAAGAGAGAGAGAGAGAGCTGTGGTATGTTTCGACATTTCAGTCTTAAAGTTTCTCTCTCACTCTTATTCGCTTCTCGCCTATTAATGGCGGGTAGGATCCGGTATAATCAGAAATTATCGCGCGGTATTTTAACTCTTACTTGGGAAACTTTACGCGCCAAGTTTTGCTCCCCTTCCTCTTGTCTCGGATCGTTTTTTAAAGTATCGAAGCTTTTCTAACGATATCGGATTTCTCTCTCGCATTCCGTGCTCTTTATCACTACTCTACTCCACTATACTCTACTCTACTCTACTTTATCACCTGCGCGATAACATAACTCCGAGTTCCCGACGCGCCATCCGCCGGCTTCGTCTGAGTTTACGCGTGACACGATAACCGCCACGTTGCGTAGCGACTCGCGAAGCGATCTTTAGGATCGATGCTCGCCGTTCCATTCGGAAGAATCGCCTATAAACGAGCGAGCGAGCGCGCACGCCTCTCCTCCATGCGTTTCCGCAATTCGCGAGTCTCGTAAAGCCGGCGGGCGATGATTTTTGGCGTAAAACGCGTAGCGGAGCGCATGCGAGGGCAATAAAGGGAGGGAACAGTAAACGCGGACGTTTACTGCCGATCCTTACGGCACGCGCGCTATCTCGTTCACGGTCGGTTTGCCCCTAAAAGAGTCGTACTGAGTGCCTCCCCTGCTGCCTGTCGTCCTCCCCCTGTCCTCCCTCGCAACAACGACAGGAGGAACGAGAGAGAGAGAGAGAGAGAGAGAGAGAGAAGGAAAGACGCAGAGAGAAACTGCATCGTCGCCCCACGAAATAACATTTAATATCGATCGTCACTCGATCCCTAGCTTCAATGTCGACCCGCCTGTCAATGACAGGCCGCGCAATCCCTAACGGGAAACAGTGTATAACGTTACGTCTGAACGCATGAGTGTACACTCGATTCCGCGGGTTCGAGGCTATCCAAGATTCGACGTCGAATATATACCTAGGCGTCATGTTATCCGTCTATCTCTCTGATCACCAACGCGTTTCCAATTCCCAACTAATAAACCGAACAAACAGTCACATAAGTGAGACAACGGTAACAGTAACCGTAAGTCCGTATTAATAGTCGTATTACTTGAAACATATCTCACGTGAGATAGTCAGATCTAAATTCAAATACGTATTAACGGTCGTTATTTGGAACTTGCCTCAGGTGAGATATACAGATTTAAAGACATATGTTTTTCTCAGCTAAATCGCGACTACAAACGTGATGTACATGATTCAAGCAAAAAACTCAAATAAGCATGACTCAAATAAAAATAACGAGCGCGGGTTTAACATGACGCGACATACACCGATCGTGTGTAGCGAGAAAGGAGGAGATTACTCCCTAATAAGGTACTCACGTTACATCCCGGCGATCGCACATCGTTATTTTCGGCACTCCTGATACTCATTTCCGCGCGAGACTCACTTTCAACAGGCAAACAACGCGCAAAACGCGGAACGATATCGATTGATGTAGTAATGGCGGCTACTCGACGCAAAAAGATCGAAAATAGATGTACGCTGAAAATGCGCGCCAACGACATGGATGGTGTCGCCTCCTATAATGACACATTCTATACATATCTCTCTCTCTCTCTCTCTCTCTCTCTCTCTCTCTCTCTCTCTCTCTCTCTCTC